GCTCTGGTTAACCATTTAATATTATCTTTTCCATACGTCTGATTGGATATTTCTTTTCTAATATTTTACATACTATACAATTTACCTTGTAAATCTCAACTTGGAAAAAGAAAAAGTGCTGAATTTGGAAATTAAAAAAAAAAAAAAAAGATAAGGGAAATAATAAAGAGGACCAACAAAGATGCCACAGTAAAAATAAAGCGATTACATCCCTTGGGAACTGATAACCTAACAATGAAACTGAATGCATTTTGTGCATATCAATTAAATAGCATCCAAAATATACTGACACCTTTTTACTTTCTAAACTTAGAACATTTTCAAGATAATAAAAAAAGTTTCTGAAAATTATTTTTTTAGCAAGGTACAAATAGTTATGTTAAATTCACCGTAAAACGTGAGACAGTATTTTTAATCTTTATAATAACGTCTTGATTAAAAAACGCAAATACAATCCTATAAACTGAAGGTCAAGACTAAATAATCTGGAAACATTTCTAATGGTACACCTATTACAGATAAAGAAGCTGCAACTTCAATATCGATTAGATGACAGAGCGTATATCGAATGTATACATTTAAAAAAAACAATTTAAAAAACATGTCTTCCTAGTTTATATTTAAATTTCATCCTTCAACATTTTTCGTTGGACACCTGAACTGTTTAACTTGTGCTAAGTAAGCATGGTGGTTGGATGCAATATTGTAAACTTTACATAAGTGAAATGTAAGCAATTCTTGCGTGAATCATCCTATCATGCTGGTTAAGTATTTTTTGTATTCATATTTTTTAATAAGCTAAATCTAGTAAGTTATGTGCTGGTGTTGCATTTTACTTGTTGGGCTAAGTCTTTGTAGGAAAAAAAATGTCCTTTAATTCAATTTTTTTTTCTAATATACGAAATACAAATATCGTCTAAATTTGCTAACAATAGTGTAGGTTGTTTTAGAATAAGATAACTTCAAAAAAGATACAAACATCATCTATTTGTTATAATATAATTTATTTTTTTAAACGAATTCGTTTAAAAGTGACACAATAATCATAAACAAAACGTACAGACATACAATGTAAGAATATAAATCAAATGCACGTGGTAATGGCATTAATAAAAATACAGTTACGTATTACACCCAACCAAGATACACATAAAGTTGTAACATAGAAGATATTTTATTACAACAGGCTATGTCACATATTTTATTGTCTTCTAAACCCTAAAGAAAAGGATCTGCTTTATGCTCATAGCATATCTTTCCGGCAAACAAAGTGTTTAAAATATTAAAATAATAAAAGAACTACAAATACTTATATAAACAAACCATTAATGTACACACATGTTTAAAATTATAAGTTATTATGATGGCTAAATATTCTCTGAAGCACTACTAAATCGCGAATTCGTTGGCTGTTTTCGCCACCACTGTCAACTTATTTTAATGAAAAAAGACTTAAATAACAAGATGAAGACACATCTTAGACTATTAAAACTAGACTAGGGTGAAGCCTAAGACGTTTAAGTTTATTAATGTTCAAGATTACTTCAACAATTAAAAACTACATTAATTACCTTTAATTTGATACCAATTATAATTTTCAACATTCTACGGTAACCTAGAAAATTATGTTTGAATAGGCGGGTTAGTTTTCAAAGAGTGTTGCTGTGACGCAATTGAACTTTTAGCAGTAATGTGCCGTCTTCCCATTCAAATACATGGTGGACAATATGGGCGGGCTTAATCAGCCGTTGTCTCGATCAAGTAATATTTTAAATCAATTTAGTGATGCGTTAATGTTAAATTAATAAAATAAGTTTAACAAGACATAGTGTATAATTTTATATCTGTAGTCATAATAGTAATAAATTAGAGTAATTGACGTATTCCTCATCTTATGTTCGGCTCGATATTCTCAGCAATTATGCCAAAAATAAACACAAACGGCAAATTTACATTACATTTCCATTGTTAAAAATATATCGATCACGTTGATTAATACGCGAACATAACGATTATATGTAGGCCTTTTTCTTGATGAAGACTATAAAACATTGTAAAATCAGTGGAAACAGGTATCGTCCTATTCGGCAGCCATCACTACCATGACGACGGGAAAAGAAAAAAAAGGAAGGTCAAGCAACAGCCTGATGAAAGGCTTTGTGAAGATTATTTATAAACTTCTTTGTGCTAGGTACCTGGATGTACACACACTCTCACGTACAATGAGTTGTAATCGACTACGGGTAAAAGGATGGACGATACGGGTTTTTTTTTTTTTTTTTTTAACATAAACCACTTGTAGAGATTAAGCTGATGATTTTGTGAGAACTCCACAAGAGATAGAATACGCTGTCTACAGAGATTGCGATAAGATGACAATGTTCTCAGGTGTAGTTACTTCTGTTGTGGTTTTACACGTCTTATTTACACATGGTGAGTACCTTTGAAAAAGACTTATCTTACACAGTATATATGATGGGGCTAATAGAGGAATGCAGCTTTGTAATTAAGATTTTTATAACGTCGTAAGGCCTAGGTCTAGGTCTAGGTCTAGGTCTAGGTCTAGGTCTAGGTCTAGGTCTAGGTCTAGGTCTAGGTCTAGGTCTAGGTCTTGGTCTAGGTCTAGGTCTAGGTCTAGGTCTAGGTCTAGGTCTAGGTCTAGGTCTAGGTCTAGGTCAAGGTCTAGGTCTAGGTCTAGGTCTAGGTCTAGGTCTAGGTCTAGGTCTAGGTCTAGGTCTAGGTCTAAGTCTAGGTCTAGGTCTAGGTCTAGGTCTGGGTCTGGGTCTGGGTCTGGGTCTGGGTCTGGGTCTGGGTCTGGGTCTGGGTCTGGGTCTGGGTCTGGGTCTGGGTCTGGGTCTGGGTCTGGGTCTGGGTCTGGGTCTGGGTCTGGGTCTAGGTCTAGGTCTAGGTCTAGGTCTAGGTCTAGGTCTAGGTCTAGGTCAAGGTCTAGGTCTAGGTCTTTGTCTAGGTCTGGGTCTAGGTCTAGGTCTAGGTCTAGGTCTAGGTCTAGGTCTAGGTCTAGGTCTAGGTCTAGGTCTAGGTCTAGGTCTAGGTCTAGGTCTAGGTCTAGGTCTAGGTCTAGGTCTAGGTCTAGGTCTAGGTCTAGGTCTAGGTCTAGGTCTAGGTCTAGGTCTAGGTCTAGGTCTAGGTCTAGGTCTAGGTCTAGGTCTAGGTCTAGGTCTGGGTCTGGGTCTGGGTCTGGGTCTTGGTCTGGGTCTGGGTCTGGGTCTGGGTCTGGGTCTGGGTCTGGGTCTGGGTCTGGGTCTGGGTCTGGGTCTGGGTCTGGGTTTGGGTCTGGGTCTGGGTCTGGGTCTGGGTCTGGTTCTGGGTCTGGGTCTGGGTCTGGGTCTGGGTCTGGGTCTAGGTCTAGGTCAAGGTCTAGGTCTAGGTCTTTGTCTAGGTCTGGGTCTTGGTCTAGGTCTAGGTCTAGGTCTAGGTCTAGGTCTAGGTCTAGGTCTAGGTCTAGGTCTAGGTCTAGGTCTAGGTCTAGGTCTAGGTCTAGGTCTAGGTCTAGGTCTAGGTCTAGGTCTAGGTCTAGGTCTAGGTCTAGGTCTAGGTCTAGGTCTAGGTCTAGGTCTAGGTCTAGGTCTAGGTCTAGGTCTAGGTCTAGGTCTAGGTCTAGGTCTAGGTCTAGGTCTAGGTCTAGGTCTGGGTCTGGGTCTGGGTCTGGGTCTGGGTCTGGGTCTGGGTCTGGGTCTGGGTCTGGGTCTGGGTCTGGGTCTGGGTCTGGGTCTGGGTCTGGGTCTGGGTCTGGGTCTGGGTCTGGGTCTGGGTCTGGGTCTGGGTCTGGGTCTGGGTCTGGGTCTGGGTCTGGGTCTGGGTCTAGGTCTAGGTCTAGGTCTAGGTCTAGGTCTAGGTCTAGGTCTAGGTCTAGGTCTAGGTCTAGGTCTAGGTCTAGGTCAAGGTCTAGGTCTAGGTCTTTGTCTAGGTCTGGGTCTTGGTCTAGGTCTAGGTCTAGGTCTAGGTCTAGGTCTAGGTCTAGGTCTAGGTCTAGGTCTAGGTCTAGGTCTAGGTCTAGGTCTAGGTCTAGGTCTAGGTCTAGGTCTAGGTCTAGGTCTAGGTCTAGGTCTAGGTCTAGGTCTAGGTCTAGGTCTAGGTCTAGGTCTAGGTCTAGGTCTAGGTCTTGGTCTAGGTCTAGGTCTAGGTCTAGGTCTAGGTCTAGGTCTAGGTCTAGGTCTAGGTCTAGGTCTAGGTCTAGGTCTAGGTATTAGCAAGTCAATAGTTTACTTCATAAAAATAAGTACACTTGTTTATAGCACTTAGCAAGTGCCACTTAAAAGCTGTGACATCTATTTTCCTTTATTATCTTGTTAGTTAAATTGTATAATGAAATGAGTTGTACATATGAGGCCAAACATTCAATGCGACTGGATTATAACATCATTGTATTATGTGTTCTACGTTATAGGTAAAATGTAAAGATCTAGACTTAACTTTAGACCTAGGTACCCATAATTGTGTCAATATAGACATCATATTTCCATTCAAATGTATTGCAACAATTACACAACGTAATGCATTTTATTGAAGCTGAAATACAAAACAATACATATACAATACAGCATTAAAATATATCTAGTCCAGGGGTCTCCAAACTTTTCAGTCCGAGGGCCGCATTAACTATCAAATTTCAGTTCGGGGGCCAGTTTCTTCCAGGCATGTCTTTGATTTTTCTGGGCAAAGTTCCTCAGCCATCACCAACAAACGTTTTTTCCGTGGACAAAAATATCTCAGCGGGCCGGATGAGAGGACTTCGCGGGCCGCATCCGGCCCGCGGGCCGTAATTTGGAGACCCCTGATCTAGTCAAATAGACCAAAAGAAACATTATCGCAACGTTAAGCTGGGTAAATTTATGTACAGTATAATATCCCTTTACATTTCAGGCCTGGAACTTTACCCAAAAGAGGACACTATTTACAAAGGGGAGATAAATGTTTGCGCCCAGATTTATTGCGTGGAAGACGCTACGAGTGAAAGTGAAATATTTTCTCTCGTCAACATGTCAGTCTATAGAATAGATGGAAATATGAAGACACCATTGGCCAGTATTTTAGCCTCAGATTCAAGGGTTCGAGATTACAACGTGGATGGGGTAGAAGTTGATGGTAAAATATCAACCAAGACAGTGGAGATGACAGTGTCGGTAACACAAGAGACTGGGTGTCAGGATGGTGTCTGGGCTTGTGATGTTCATTACGTCGACAGTACAGGTCACATAGGGAAGAGGGAAAAGAAAACAAGGGCTGGATCAAGAAAAGATATGCGTTCATTTCTAGATTTGAATATACAATCAGAAGGTTCTGAAATTTCTATGTCTATCGAGCGTTTGAACCATTTAACGGATAGAGATTTGAACATGAAATTAAAATTGTCAAGTTGTAATCCTAACAACAACAAGCACGTCGATGCAAACGAGTTTAACAAAGAAAAACAAAGAGGATATCAATCAAAGCCCTTGGAGGAAAATAATGAAGTATTGGAATCAGCTTATAGCAATGAAAGAAAGTTTGAGAACCCGGATGAGAACTCGAAAAAGCAAGATAGAATGTTTAACAGGCATTTAAGATCTGGAGAATTAAACACTAAAATAAACAATAGCGCAAGTTTGATAAACAATGTTACCAATCTTCAAAACATTGCTAGATGGGAGAAGTATCGGCTAAATTATATGTCTTCCGAATTACCGACGTTGTCAGAGAAAGATAACAATCTACAAGAACAATATGATAACATGGAACAAGATTTTATTAAAAAGTTCAACCAACTAAAATCTAGGATCGCTGTGTTAGAGAATAGCAATGACACACAATATGATTTAAAACAAAGTCTTGACCTGTATAATTTGCAAAACGTTTTGTTTGCTATAGATGAAACAAAACTACATTTAAAAAATAGTCTTGATTATGTATCTCTAATTTTAAATGTTACAAAATTTGGAACACAATATGGATCTGATATAATAAGAAAAATTTTCATGGCTATGAAGTATACAATACAAGAAAACGAAATTCTTAAAACCTTGTTAAATGTAAGTATTTTTTAAAAGTATAATATATGTTGCTTAATTCAATAAACTTGATCGCAATAACAATTTGTTCATTTATAAAATTGTAATGATATTAATGCATCATTTTTGGTTCACAACATCACACATGAAGCGTATACCTTTTTCAGAATCAGTGTCCACGAAATTCGAGTCAGAATTCCACACTCAATCAGATTTTCACAACAAACAGCAGTAAACAAATGTTATGTGATTCTGCCACCGATGGCGGTGGTTGGATTATAATTCAGGTTCGTTTCAAAATTATGCATATACACGGATGTCTGGCTCAAGAAGAAAAAGCTTGAAATATTTAATAACTGGTTTGATTTTTCACACGCTTTTATTTAATTTGCTTACTCGGTCTGTCTTCGTCAGTCTGTCGTCAAGGGAGATCGAATTTTCGGGCACTTCTAATCGAGCAATTTCTCTAAAATTTGAAATATGGGTCAAGATCCTATATCAAAAATAAAATAGCATTAAATTTATTATATGATTGAATAATTAATTGTGTATGAATTAATGAACATTTTCTGAAATTAGTAAGTCTTATCCTACTATTTCGCACTATTATTCGCGCGTTATCGAGCTCATTTTGTGCGCAAATATAATGTAGGCCTATTAAAAATGTTAAAGTACTGAAAAGGTGCATTAAAAGCTTTTTTAACAACAAGCTTTTATGTAATAATGCACTAAATAGGAGAAAATAAATGATGTTTTAAAAATATATTTATATATACATAATTATAAAGAAAAGAGTAAAAACTAAGTTAAATTTTGCTTACTAGTATTAATTCATATGATCGCAATTTTCTTTCAGAGACGTTTCGGATTTGACAGACACAGTCAACTAAACCCATATAATAGAAGACATATTGCTGCGTATGGTTTCGAAGGATACTGGCTCCATTATAAAGATGGATTCGGTAAACTTTCAGAAAATTTTTGGCTTGGCAACGATTGGATCTCAAGACTTACGTCGATTGTAAGATTGAAATAACTATAAAACCAGTTAAATTATTTTAAATCACATTAAAACCTGCGAGATATGTGTGGATTTAAATTATTTAAAAGTTGTATTGATAGTAGTGAATCACCAAACATATTACATTGAAGTGCATACACTTATTTTAAATAATGTTTAGATCTTACAAACACACCAATTCTAATGAAAATACAGCCTTCTATCCAAGTTTGTTAAAAAACAAACCAATTATTACAGAAATTTCAAAGTCTGTGAAAATTCTGCTGTTTGTAATATCTTTGATACCTAGGTAAATGCTTTTTGTTCGAAGATCATTTCAACAATACCATTTCAATCTCCCAAATGGAATAAACATAATATAAAAATATATATATATATATAAATATATATATATATATATATATATATATATATATATATATATATATATATATATATATATATATATATACTATAACATTATTACTATATCATCACCATTACACACACTATTTCTAAAACTACTATTTTGTTTGTCTTTTTAAATTATTATTGTATCCTTTTGTTTATAATACATATTTTGTCGTTGTATTATAGATATTTTTGTAAATAAATTTATAACTATTCCTAGGGCTATACCGAGCTGAGGATTGATATGAAATACAAAACAAAACACTACTATGCAACATACAGCAACTTTACGGTTGGCGATGAAACAACCCAGTACAAGATGAGCTACTCGTCATACAACGGGAACGCCACGGACGGTTTGAAGGATCACAATGGGATGAAATTCTCCACTAGAGACGACGACAATGATAAATGGTGGAATGGCCAATGTGTTAAAAGTCACACAGGTGGTTGGTGGTTTAACCAATGTTTGACGTCCAACCTAAACGGTGAATGGGCCAGCAAGGAATTCGGCAAGGGAATTATTTGGGGAAACTTGACGGGCTGGCGTGACTCACTGGAGTTCACTGAGATGAAGCTTCGTCTGCCTTAGAAAGCGATTTAATTTTTATTTTGATTCTAGAAAATGTAGATTGTTTCCCATGATGTTATAAGAAGAAAACAACGCTTATGTTTTGTTTACATTTACTAAGTGGCGGAATTTCAGTGTTGCCGATAACATTATTGAAGCGGAAAGTTGTTTTTGAAGGGGTGGGGGGTGGGAGGGGAGGGGTAATCCAAGCTTACATAACTTAAATAATAACAACTTAAATAATAATAAAATAAAAAAAAATTAATATATCTGTGGTTACTTATTATTAGTCAAACAGTAGCGTAGCGAGGGGGGGGGGGGGGGGAGGGGGGGACATATGTCCCCGGGCGCCGACCTTAGGGAGGAGGTTGAGGAGGGTGCAAATCGAAAGTTTGAGGGGAGGGGGTGCAAATCAAAATCTCGAGGGGGGGGGGGGTGCAAATCGAAAAGTTTGTTCCCGGGCGCCGGGAGGGGTCGCTACGCCTCTGTAGTCAAAAGTCTCTAGCAAACGCTGCAAAAAACAAATTTGCAAAACAAAAAAAATTAAACAATCGACAAATAAGAAAACCATAAGAAAAACATATTATTACAAAGAATTTCATAACCATTAGAGGAAAAAATTTGCAAAAGCCTTACGCATTTGTGAGAGGAGGGGAGTAATGTATTATTGTACTTGTTAAATAGATATCGTATTGTATGTTTAATTTGAGCTTTCATTTATATTTTCTCCCCTTCTTAAAATCTCGTTCGTGCCCAAGACACATGGGTCAGATAAAGTAGAGTTAATCTGATTAATAGACCTCGGCATATGAAGGGATAATGTGGTCGGTACTATGCCCAGCCCCATTTGTTTCCCTCGGGGACGTTCCACTGATTTGAACTCTAGACTCGAGTGTTTGCAGTCCAGCTCTCTACCGCTAGACCACGCCGTCTCTATTTAAGTTGCGTCTTGTTTTGTAATAGCATGAATAACTTGTTGCATGCTAGAACCATTGCATTATAACTATATGCATTTTTTCTGTGTTATATATTATTAATCTGAAGGCCGTAGTAGAATGTGTCATAAAATTCGCTGAGAATGTTTAAAACATTCAAAGGTTCAAGTAAATAGATTTCAAACAATGTGCAGCCATTTAAAAAAAAAAAAAAACATTTACTGTCAATTTCTATTGCTAATGAGCTTTTATGCTTGATTGTAATGCAAGCCATGACATCTATAGATGTAGATAAAGTTGAAAAGTAATAATAAAATAATTGTGTGTATTTTCTGTGATTTTTACATATTGTATTTACTGTTGATTATGAACAAAACACATTTTTTATTGACAATTAATTAAACCAGATAGGAACAACATGACACAAGATGGGCTTGCTTGTGACATTGAACATTCGAACCAAAATGTGTTATTATAATAAAGTTACTGAAGAAAAAAAAACTTTAACCATTATTAAGACAGCTAAACTCAGCCTAGAAATCATGCAGTCAGAAACACATTAAATAAACCGTGAGTGATCTCCCCTAAATTTTCTCGAATTTTCTTATATAAAACAACAGGGGATGGCAACTCGAGATATAGACATTGTCACAAGCTTTTTGTGTGACTGGGTTCACGATATGAACTTGTTACAGGCCTTTCTCTTACCTTTTATATTACACATACGAAATCACAAGACAAGCCTTCTTTTGCAGTTTTTCATATTTATTTCGTTTTTACACAGACAGCGTGTTCAGTCCAGCTACGCCATGTTCTTGCCTTCTTCTTCACTTGTTTCTTTCGCGCATGCGCACAGCCACTATCTCCCTGATGCAATCTCACACACTCCCAAGATACAATCTACCAATATTTCACTGTTATAGAAATGATTTTTAATCCATTTTAAATACTTAAAATATTGTAGAAGAAAAGAATTGCACACCAAGTGAACACCAAATATAAAATGTGTGCATAATAGTGCGGAATATTATTAGTACTTTATAAATTGACATGCGTTTTTTGAGAAATCGGAAATAGCGAGAATTACTACTTCCCGACAACGCTACTCAAAATTTGACAGAAGGTAGAGAATTAGACATTTTACTAACAAGTGAAATTTCATTTATCTGTCTAAAATAGTACTCAAGGTATAGGCTTTTGAAAATTTCAAAGTAAAAAAAGTTCCACTTCCGGTTATCGGAAATCACTCAAAAGTTGGTACGTATCTTGGATTTTGATATAATACTTACATATGAAATTTCATCAACCTAGTTGTAATGGTTTACACACATACACACATACACACAGACACACATGCACACACAGACATACGGACACGATTGCAAAATTATGTTTTTCTGACTCAGAGAGCTGTAAAACGTCGAGATTTGCAAAAATCTCAATTTAAAAAAAAAATGTGCACGATTACAAGACTTTTTCTATACTTCGTATATACAATAAAGTAAAAAAGAACACCTACCATTTTACTCTTAAAAATCATTCGATAAATACGTATAATCGTTTTAACTTTGGCCAACTAGACACCACATTTTTATCCACGTAAGTAGTTAAAAGATTAATTGTAACCACATAATTAGTAAACCTTAGTGTCTTTTAGTGTTTACAGAATGACAGTATCGATCAGTGGATGTACAATGATCAACACATATTTGCCTTAAAATTATTCAAACGTTAACTATCTAATATAACCAAAAGTGTAAAGGGAAGGGGGTCGTATTACAGACATAAAGACCACCAAATTATTGAAGCTATCAGAAAACACACTATTGGTCAGACACGAACAGTTCGAACACAAAGTAAGTCACCGCACAAAAAGCGCCTGCAATGCAAACATATGATTTCATAAAACTAATAATATTGGAAATATAATTTTTAAACTATTAAACTAATTTTGAAAAAAAAATTACCCATTTAATATACTACAAAATATGTATTATATTGGAACAGATCCAAATTATGATTTTGACAATATAAACAAAGTTTCTTCCAGGCATCTCTTCGGGGGGTGCAAAGCCCCCTCCCCCCCCCCCTTCCCGCCCCGAATGAAATGAAATTTGTATAATTTATATAGAAAATATATACTTTTAACAGTGTTCGCGCCCCCCCCCCCCCCCGAAGAAAGTCTACCGCCCCCCCCCCCCCCGAAAATTTCAAGTGCCCCCTCCCCCGAGAAAAAAAGTCTGGAAGAAACATTGAATATAAATACAAAGTAACCCTACTACTAGTACTACGACTGTGCTAAACAATACAATTAGTATAATAATAGGCCTATTATTGACGAGAAAAATGGCCCGTTGAGGAAGGGTACATCGGGCGCTAGGCTGATAGTGCTGTCTCTTTTCTCTAAACTAAAACCAACCCACCCCCCCACACACCACCCCCACCCCCACCCCCACACACCACCCCCACCCCCACCCCCCACCCCCCACACACACCGTCCCCCACCCCCACAGCCCTCCCCCCCCCCCTCCACCCCCCCCCCCCCCCCCCCAAAAAAAAACATATCTACCGTCCCATTCAACGAAATATAATTATATACTTTTTCCAGTGTCCGGCCCCTCCCAGAAAATTCTACCCCCGCCCCCGAAAATTTCAAGTACCCCCACCCCTCTCCGGGGAGGAACAAGTCTGAAAGAAACACTTGTCATTTGTCCTTGAGATCATTTGTCCTGAGATCATTTGTCTTGAGATCATTTGTCCATGAGATATTTTGTCTGAGATATTTTGTCTGAGATCATTTGTCCTGAGATCATTTGTCCTGTCACCATATATATATATTCAAACATGCATTTTATTAGAGTGGAAGGGGCATTACATTCAAGATCTAAAGCACTACGTATATGTTACTATAATTACAAATTAGCACTAAAATTGCAATTAATTAAAAATGAACAACAGTTTGCTAGACTTAGCATTGACAAGACGAGCACTTTCTTTAATATTTATATATGGAATGACTGCTCACAGAACGAATAACGCTTCGGTAATCGAACTTCCAAGAACTCAGCCATAACATGTACTAAAATGCACTCGACTACGGATATTGATGAAACGATACTTTGGATTGGGTCCAGATGTAAACCAGCTGTTAAGCATAAATAGTCGAATTTTTAAGGAAATTTTAGCTTCAGACAAAGAGAGTTGCATGAGGCGTCGGTAAAAGTGTGTGCTTAACTAGAGCTCAATAATGTCTGCCATTGTAGTGACTTTATGTATGGTTTTCAACTTCATGATTGTATGCGGTGAGTACTATAGGTTTATTTAAGTTTTGTATTATTGATTTAGTTATGTTAAGGCAAAGAAAATTTAATGTATATCATACTTGAATAGATACACTTGATATTTATGTGTTTAATACATGAAACATGATTTTATTGCTTGTCCTTATCACATTAAGGAATCTGCTTGTTCTTAGAAGTAGACTTAAATTGGACATATGCTCCACAATGAAGCTGTCAGTTACATTCATGTAATACTGACTTTAAATGTATGCATATTTTAATTTAAAATAATTAAGCCAATTTAAATAATGTAGATCGAAATTGTAAATCAAATGTATTATAGCTTTTCACAAAACTATACACATTTTATAAAGAGCAAAAAACTAAGTATTACTATAGGTATACGGGTTCGGAACTACAATGCCACAAGACATTGTTTTCATATTTGTTTATACTTGTTTATATGACGACTTAAATTTATTTTATATTTGCCACTGTTTTTACTTTTTTGCATAACGTAAAGAAAATATTAAATACACGCATAGGCCCTATTGCTGAAACACGTTAAACAGATTAATGTAAAACACATTTTTGTTTTGATTCCTAGAAAAAGTGGATACATTTTAATAATAATAGGGTCGAAAAAAATAATTAATTAAGCTGTTTTGTAATTTTGCCAAGGGAGGTAATTTAAAAATTCGTTTCTGTGGGGTGGCCGTTATTTTCTAGTTCCGCCACTGTAGATATAGGCCTACAGACAAAACACTAATTGAAATGCCTCTAAGTCATATAGAGCTACAAGATAAACGTAGTTGTAACGTTTAACTGAAGTAATACAAACGTAATATAAAGCACCCCATTCAATTTCAGGCTTAGAACTGTATACTACAGAAGACAACCATTTACAAGGGGAGAAAACTTTGTGTGCCCAGCTCTACTGTATAGAAGACGCTACGAGTGAAAGTGAAATATCATCTCTTGTCAACATGTCAGTCTATAGGATAGATGGAGACGCGAGAACACCATTGGCCAGTATTTCAGCCTCAGATTCAAGGGTTCGAGATTACAACGTGGATGGGGTAGAAGTTGATGGTAAAATATCAACCAAGACAGTGGAGATGACAGTGTTGGTAACACAAGAAACTGGGTGTCAGGATGGTGTCTGGTCTTGTGATGTTCATTACGTCGATCGTACAGGTCACATAGGGAAGAGGGAAAAGAAAGCAAGTACCGGAATTAGAAAACACCGAGCATCAGTTTTAGATTTGCATATAAAATCAAACGGATTGTCGGAAATTTCGATGTCGCTTAAAAATTCAAATCAATTTAAAAATTCTGATATCGACATGAAATTAAAAGTGTCAGATTTAAACAGCAACAATCAAGACCAAGTGCCTTTTTTTGAAAAAAATAACGTGTTTGAATCAAAATATAAAAACCTTGGAGAACGAATTGAAAAGAAGGACAATTCAAAGAAGCAGATAAGAAAACTAAATACAAATACAATTCATGAAGATTTTAGTGCTAATGGTAATCAAAGCGAAAGTTTGGAGAAGAATATTACCGCTTTGCGTAAAAGTTTTGCTTCTCATGACGAACAAATACGCAACATCTCTTGGATTATATCGGACTTGGAAGACACAGACACAAAACAACAGAACCAGTTTGAGAAAATAAAACAAAGCTTGAACGAAAATTTAAATGAGCTTACAGATAGAATTGATTTATTGGAAAATATCAACAGCACAAATGTTGACTGGAAAGAAAATCTAGGGACACACAATTTCCACCAGCTCTTGTCAGATTTAAACCAAACCCATCTAAACTTAGCAACGAGTCTTGAATATTTAACTCTACTTTTTAACGTTTTAAGCAATAACGAGAACATAAAAATGGTCCTCTTGGCTATGAATTACGAATTTCGGGAAAATGAAATGTTCAAAATGCTGATAAATGTAAGTGTCATTAATTTTTTTTTTTAAACTTAAGTTTCTTAATACAAATCAAAATAATTTCTACATTACTTTTAATGTTTACAAATATGCCATACAATTAATAGCTAATGCAATTGTTTTTTATTTTTAAATATCTGATTTTTAGCTGATAAATTTAGTTTAGTTTTAATATCCTAACAGTGAGAATGTAGACAGAATCCATAATTATATTTCATTAAACGAGAGCGATGACTCAAATTTCAGTTTTACAATCACACGCACACACATGTCTAAAATAGACTATAGTCTTATTTGTTAAAACAATATTTGCAAATACATCTCTAATATTTTTAGAAACGCGTGTTACAATGATATTCATTTTTTTTTTACATTATATCACAAATGACACTTTTACAATTACAGATGCAATGTTCCAGGAATATTAATAGGTTTAGAGAACTACAAGAGATCCTAACTGTCTATAAAAATAAAAAAATGCTTTGCGATGGCTATACTGATGGTGGTGGTTGGATCATAATACAGGTTGGCTTTTATAGTCGATTATATTATAAAATATCTACTTATACATAATTGTGAATATGAGTGAGTCTCATAATAATAAATCTATAACTTCTTAAACAATGCATTCTGCGCCTTTAGCTTAAAACAGTGGCGTCGCTAGGTCGGATGTCACCCTGTGCTGCAATACGTGGTGTCACCACCCCCTCCCCCCAAGAAACAAATTGTATATATATATATATATATATATATATATATATATATATATATATATATATATATATATATATATGTGTGTGTGTATGTGTGTGCCGGCCTACATAGGCTTATAATTTAAATTGATGACTTATAGTTAATCATTAATGCAACTGGTAAAAAGTACTTTTTTTTTCTACATTTTGCACATTTTTGCCATGGTGTTACCCCTCTAAATGGTGTCACCCGGTGCGGTCTGCACCCCCCGACCCACCCCACCCTCACTATGCATGTGTACATAGGATTTATTTTTCTTTTTTAAACTTGACTCTCAGCTCATTGGTTGTAAAATGGTAATAATAGAAGTACTACATATTCTAAGCGTTTAATTCATTTTTTAACGTCTTAGTTTCCTATATTAATATGTTAGTGTTAAACAACGCTAGACTTCCATTTTAGATGCTGGCAAATACAAGGCACAAGGCCCAGCTCCACAACTGTGATGTGGCCAGCCCCGTGGCAGTGGTTCCATGCTTTCCACTACCGAAGTGCACTTTTTTACTTTCTCGTATATACGAAGTATAGAGAAAGTCTTGTAATCGTGCAAAAAAAATCGAGATTTGGTTCTGTCAAATTTTGAGTAATTAATGTTTGACCGGAAGTAGTACTTTTCGCTATTTCCGATTTCTCAAAAAAAAAAACACATGTGATTTTATAAAGTACTAATAATATTCCGCACTATTATACACATCTTTATTTGGCGTTCACTATGTGTGCAATTCTTTTTTTTTTACGAGATTCTCTTCTATTATAAAAAGTAATTAAAAATGGATTTAAAATATTGTCTATGTCCCGAGTTGCCATCCCCCGTAGTGTTATATTAGAATATTCGAGAGAGTTTAGGGGAGATCACTCCCGGTTTATTCTTTCAAATATTTCCAATAGTAAAGGTAATTTTTATTCAGAAGGCATTTTTGATGTTTTATTGTGCATTAATTGACTTGATTGACATAGTTTTATAGTTACTAGCTTCTAAATTGGGCGAGATAGTTTTATAATTGGATTTTATTATTCTAAAAGAACTGGTTGAAATACTTTATTATGTTTTGTGCGAAACATGTGTATGCTTTTAATATATAAATAAATATGTTTTCATACTTAAACCCATTTAAAAAAAAAATATTATTTAGCTAATCCTAATAAAATACCATAATAGTGAGGAACAATTATTAATGGCTCTTTAAACACTGGTAAATTGTGTAAATTGTAACTGTTGGCTCTTCCACTTCAAAAGGTTGCCGAACCCTGATATATAGTATTAAGACTGCTAAATACATTCATTTAAAACGTTTGTTACACGTTGATAACAGAAGAATATGTTAAGTATCCAACAAGTTTAAATTTAAGCATATTCAGAGGCGTAATCAGGTTTTCGTTGTAGGGGGAGCGAAATGAGCACAAAAAGGCGCCGAATTTTGAACACGTTCTATATACGTGTATTATATATATATATATATATATATATATATATATATATATATATATATATATATATATATATATATCCAATATATATATATATATATACAATATATATATATATATATATATATATATATATATATACACTACAACCAAAAACAATAAAGGCAACACAATCTGTTTTGTAATTCTTGTAAAAAAAATGTTTACATAATAATTCCTCGGACATTAATTAAGACAAGCGAAATAGGGGAAATAATCACGCTCTTAATATAAATATGTATATATCTACATATTCGTGTTTACAAAAGATTTTGGTCTACAATCAGAATTAAATGTATTGTTATCATAAATGTTAAAGTATTACAGCATAATGAAAGTTTTTTAAATCAGAGTTGGTATAAAAACACGCTTTAAATAAAATAGAAAAGCATTCGGAATAATAGCATACATTTAACTAAAATATCGGTCTTTAGTTCAGATCACACATCTTTTCATTAACTACTGCTTTTGTGTTCTTAAAAGATCATTTTTTAACAAAGTGATCAGGTATGGGCTCGATCACTGTATTGATCACACACTTTTTTACTGGTATTTGTGAAAAAAAAACAATATTCTCAGAGTTTTACCTGTTCCAAAAGCTATGATTCTGGCGGCACGGTACTTTGGTACATCGTTACGCGTTTTTCCAAATATACTTAACAGATCAGTTTGGGTTGGGTTAGGGGGTGGGGGGTTCAACTTCATTCACCACTTTCCGGTCACTTTAGGTCAATTATCCAACCCAGTGTACACCTAGGTGTGACATTAACGTCGCTCTACACAATTGTGGTGGTGAGGTGTGTGTGTGTGGGGGGGGGAGAGATAACCAACTCAGAGTGAACATAGCGTCAGTTTTTAGATGACTGTTCTAAACATACATATTCAATTACATATATATACTGATTCAGAAATAGATTTAAATAAGTAGCAGTGGTATTGTGACAAAACTTTTTTTTACAGAGAATCCATGGGGGGGGGGGGGGGGGTTGTAACTGTTTCATATAATTTGTAATCGTAATCACTACGCCCAAACTGTCATTATACTACTACTTCATCGTGATGACGTTGCTGACCTTGTCGAAATTTCCCCACCACTACGCAGTTTGCCCATAAGTAAATTTAAATAGAGGTGCCACAACAGTTGTATTTGTGTCTGTATTGTATTTTTTTTTAAATTAGTTACACGATTAAAACTGTATATATAAAGTAATTATGTGTGAAGATTTATGTATAATATTTTCTAGATCAATTATTCTTAAGCAAATACATTATACAGTTGCCTTAAAGTTAACACCCCTCTTGCCAAGTGGTACTACCCGTAGAGGTTTTTTTAAATTGCAATGCATCGTAATGGTTATTTTTAGAATGACAAACTTGATACAGCTGTTAATACGTGTTGTAAACGTAGACGCTACTAGACTAGTACAATTCTGCTTAATTGCTGCATGAAAAGAAATATTGTGATTTACATAGATGTGCCGACTAAAAATAATTTGTTAACAGAAAATCATTGTTTAAAACTTTGAGTTTAAAAAATTTCCAAAAAGGCGCCACTTTGCTGAAAATGGCGAGAGGGGGAGCGGCCGCTCCCCCTGCTCCCCCCCTGCGTACGCTACTGAGCATATTCCATTAAAATAATAAAATAGTAACATGTAAACTTTGTAACATTATAAATATTCTATTTCATACAGAGACGCTCTGGACTTAGTGAACACAATGCCCAATATATTCGATATAGTTCAAGGACAAAGCCGCCTACTGATTTCCATCAATACTGGAGCAACTATAAAGATGGATTTGGCGATGTTTCTGGAGACTTTTGGCTCGGAAATGATTTGATATCAAAACTTACATTGAACGTAAGATTATATTAAATACAGTTCTATGTTTATTTGAGCAAAAATGTGCTTAAAACAGAACACGGCGACAAATTGCGTTACTTTTTATTATTGTCTTTTTAAAAATCATACACTCACTTTTGATACAATGATATGTTTAATACTTTTTGCTTATTAGGCATTGCCGTGTAAAAATGAATGAATACAACTTTCTTGCAGTCTTGAAATGTAATGCTATAATGCACAAAAAAGAAGAAGATAAAGGATTTTCTAAATACTGGCTATAAAGAAAAGCGTGTGTCTCTTCTTAAATTCTCGTAAACGTATTCAATACATATTTTTTTTTCCTACCCACTATTTTCTGTGTAGTTTTTAAATAGTGGTGTATTATAATATATTCAGTGCATTATTCATAAAAGCTTGTTAGTATTTTCTAGATACATTTATTTTTCAATACATTTTTACTAAAAGAATAAATTTTTAAAAATGCGGCGTTTTAAGTGCTGGAACAAATATTTGGCTTTTAACTAAATTTAACGGGGACACTTGCTCTAAGATAATTTTATTTCAAGTGCACACTTGAGGAAATAATTAAATGTATTTCAATGTACGAATGTATTATATTTTGCGAACCATTTATAATATCAATCTTAACTAATTGCAGGGCTACACTGACTTGAGGATAGACATAAAGTACACAAAAAATCAATATTATGCTCTGTACAGAAACTTTACTGTTGGCAATGAAACCACCAAATACCAGATGAGCTACTCGTCCTTTGAGGGGAACGTCACGGACGGCCTGAGAGATCACAATGGAATGAATTTCTCAACTAAGGATAAGGACAATGACCAGTGGCAAGAAGGCAACTGTGTTAGCAGTCACACAGGCGGTTGGTGGTTTAACAACTGTCTGACAGCTAACCTGAACGGTGTCTGGGCCAGCAAGGAGTTTGGAAAGGGAGTTCACTGGGAAAACGTTACCAGCCTGCACGAATCATTGGAGTACACTGAGATGAAACTTCGCTTACCATTGTAGACTCATGATGTAGTAAATTACTTATTAATACTATTTTTTATTTATTTATTTATTTTATTTTATTTTATTTTATTTTATTTTATTTTATTTTATTTTATTTTATTTTATTTTATTTTATTTTATTTTATTTTATTTTATTTTATTTTATTTTATTTTATTTTATTTTATTTTATTTTATTTTATTTTATTTTATTTTATTTTATTTTATTTTATTTTATTTTATTTTATTTTATTTTATTTTATTTTATTTTATTTTATTTTATTTTATTTTATTTTATTTTATTTTATTTTATTTTATTTTATTTTATTTTATTTTATTTTATTATTATTATTATTATTGATATTATTATTATTATTATTATTATTATTATTATTATTATTATTATTATTATTATTATTATTATTATTATTATTAGTATTAGTATTAGTATTAGTATTATTATTAGTATTATTACTATTACTATTATTATTTTTTTTTTTTTTTATATTTTTTTTTTGCTAAGACATGTATTTTACAGCGTCAGTTTACCTCGCCAAGTTTCTTTTTAGCATTACACTTTTTATGAGGAGTGATACGTACTTACATTCATATAAGATTGTACAATGAATGTATAGTATGGAAACAACGGTTTATTGAAGTTTCTTATATTACCACAAATATATTACACTTAGTTATCTCCCATGTTTGTGTTATGTGAAAAAATATATTCAAGGTAGTTAACTAACAGTAAATTATATTTAAATTAAAAAAAAAAAACGAACTTTCAAGTTTTAAATATTATATTACAAAAACATACGAATCTTGTGTTTGATTTGTAGCGATATACTAGAATTAACTACTATCATAAGTATATAAAACGTCTTTGATTTTCGTATTAGAAACGTAATTTGTTGACAAAAAATAAATATATTTTAAATGTATATAATTTAAACTTTGTCCACTAAACAATTTTTCCCAGATATACAATTATTTTAGACAAAGATTAGTCTGTGCTACATCACTCTTTTTTTGGTGCATTAATGCGTTTTTTGAGTGCTTTTCAAAATGTATCTTTAATATCAATTATACTGTGTTTCCGGCCAAACTAATTCTGATGTATAGGATTGTCGATTGTTGTTTGATTTGGATAGTGGTATATATATATATATATATATATATATATATATATATATATATATATATATATATATATATATATATATATATATATATATATGTTACGGTCAAAGCCCGAAGTGCGGCCAAACCCCGGATTGGCCAGCCAATGCGCGGATTGGCCGGCTCTCTTGGCCAAAGCCCGAAGAACTTAGCACTAAGATCGTATTTCGTACATTGGCCGGCCAATGCGCGCACTGGCCGGGACGTACTGGCCAAAGTCCGAAGTGCTTACACTTGACAGCGTATTTTGTACATTGGCCGGCCAATGCCGGGATGTCCTGGCCAATGTTCTATCTAGACTAAGTTGTGATCGCGTTTTCATTATTCTGGGTGCGGTTTCATTGTGAGCTCTTGTTTGTACAGCTCATTCTTGTGGATCCTGTGGCAAAGATGTCCACGCTATTTGTGGAGTACCCAAATGAAGCAGACGAAGGGTACGGAGGGAACATTACCTGCAGATTGTGTCACAACAAACAAGACATCATGGAACACAGATAAGCAGCTCATACTGGCTTGCAAACTCAAGGTGCTGAGATGCTTAAAACATCAAATACAAAATTTAAAGATAGTGAAGTGGTTGACAATGTACGCATCGTGTTCCAGATGTTGACAGAGGTCGCGGTGATCCCCGAAGCGTGATTGCAGTTGTCATGAGCGTCGAGGGCGGTTTCTACAAATTAGGAACGGAACATGGTGTTCTAAAACAACTGTATGCTAGAAGTGAGTTTTCAATTCTTCACGAAAAACTGCTCTTATTGTCGTCAGTTAGCACTGAGGAAAATCACTACGAACCATCGCATCTTCACAATCATTGACTGGGGGCCAAGGCTACACTCGCTGCAATTGCACAACCAAGTGCACAACAAATCGCTGCAAGTGTAAAAATAACAAGCTGCTATGTAATTCTAAATGCCATAAAAGTTCAACTTGTTGTAACAAATGATAATATCGATTGATTGAGACTATAGTACAATAAAAAATTTGAATGTTTCTGTCATTTACTTAAATTAATAATCAATAAAGACTTAATTTCATGATCCTTACGGCATTAAAAAACCCAAAATCTGCTCATGATTTTCTAATTCGGACTTTGGCCGGTCGTCCCTAGCCAGATGATCTTCTAATTAAGACTTTGGCCGGTCCACCATGGCCAGTCTGCGGATTGGCCGGCCAAAGGCCGAAATCAAGCAAAGTTTCGGACTTTGACCGACCTATGGGAGGTGATATTGGCCAATGCGCGGATTGGCCGGCCAATCCTAGCATTGGCCGACTTCGGGCTTTGACCGTAACATATATATATATATATATATATATATATATATATATATATATATATATATATATATATATATATATATATATTGTGTGTCTTCCCCAACACTTTTCTTGGAATCTTACTTAGGTTTTTTTTTTATTTAAAAAGGTCATTTTCTCATAATTTGGTGTTGTAATGTTTAATTTCAGAATGCCCTTTATTTTCAATATAGGTAGTATTGTGCCATATTTACTTGCTTTAGTTTTTTAAAAGAAAATCATTGAATTTTTTTTTTTTTATTTTTCTTTGGTTTTTAACTAAGGTAACATGTGCTGACTCATATTTTAACTATTTTCGATTGTTCCTAGAATCCACACATAACACTTTGTTTTATACTTTGTTCTAAAATTAAAGCCTTGTTTTCTTTCAGGATCAGTCGTCTCTTGGTTTTTAAGGTGGGTAATGTACGTAATTTGTTTTATACTTTGTTCTAAAATTAAATTACGTACATTACCCACCTTAAAAACCAAGAGACGACTGATCCTGAAAGAAAACAAGGCTTTTTACAGAATATTACACACGACTAAACCAATCCAAACCACAAACACGGAGTAGTAAGACAAATATCTAAAATTCATTAAACCCTTGGGGTCGTCCACAAATGACGTCACACTCGTAGGGGGAGGGGGGTCGGTAATTTTAAGATAAGAAATGTTAGAAAACTAATTTTAGACGTTATTTTGCATTTTAGAAAACAGTTTTAATAAATTATAATAGGAATTGATTAAAATACTCTATTTTGACATATTTCAGAAACGTTTTTGGAAAAATATCGATGTTTAAAAAAAAATTAACCTGCAATTTTGAGGGGGGTTGTAGGCTGAGGTGTGACGTCATTTTAGGGGGGGGGGTCTGGCTTTTTGTGACGACGTGTGACAGAGGGGAGGAGGGAGGGGGGAGGTAAAAATCGTCAAAAAAGCGTGACGTCATTTATGGATGACCCCCTTAAACGACGATGACAAAAATAATATATTTATTATTGATATTTTTTTTACTGCGTTATTATTAAAATAATTTTAGATCAATTAAGCTTTTTCAATTATATACAATACATTAGATAAAAACTTAATATTAATCAATAAAGAAAATACATATACTAAATTGTTGCCCTCACTTGTTATTCCGGAGAGATAAATACTTGTTAGCTATTTGCTTCAGGTGTAGAGGGGTACATTTACAGTGAAAAACATTTCGTTGTATGTTATAAAATAATATTGTAAATGTCGCTCTTGATGGATGTCATCGTCATCTAATATCTTGTCATCTCTGTATCATTTCAGTACTAAGTTTTCTAGAGTTACGTAGTAGAAGATATCGTATTGGCTGTCGACTCCTTTTTAGTTGTAAATGTCTACACTGTTAACATTCGGCAAGTCCTTGTAGCGAGGCTTTAAATTTGTTGCAAATTTTGACCTTGTAAGCCACAATGTCCGTGTGGTGTATCCTGTGATGTAGGACCACTTATAATTCAGATGTTACAGTGAGATAATCTGTACTTTTCGGAATAGCTTTGTTTTTGTATGTCACGTTTTTTTTTTTTAATAACAAAACCAGCACATATTTTTTCTACTAACGGTTGTTGGATTAGGTTGTTGCTTATTTCGTTTGATGTTGTCAGTTTCACCGTGGTGGCCGCTGTTATTTTATACTGTATCTGGTTGTGTGGTTACGGGAGCCGCTTTGTCTGGGGTTCATGTGTTGGCTGTGGTAATTTGAGCCTTTATGACAGTGTTGTCAATGAGGTTTGACGTCAGTGCACTTGTGGTAGTTTTTATTTTTTTATTTTATCGTATACGAAGTTAAAAGGAGTATTGTAATCGTGCAAAGTATCGAAATATATTTTTTTTTACAAATACCGATGTTTAAGTCCTACCTGTGTCAGAAAAAAATTAATCTTGCAATCTTGTCTGTATGTCTGTATGTCTGTATGTCTGTGTGTATGGGCGTATGTGTGTATTGTGTGTATGTGTGTATGTGTGTATGTGTGTATGTGTGTATGTGTGTATGTGTGTATGTGTGTATGTGTGTATGTGTGTTTCTGTGTCTGTGTGTCTGTGTGTCTGTGTGTATGTGTGTATGTGTGTATGTGTGTATGTGTGTATGTGTGTATGTGTGTATGTGTGTATGTGTGTATGTGTGTATGTGTGTATGTGTGTATGTGTGTATGTGTGTATGTGTGTATGTGTGTATGTGTGTATGTGTGTATGTGTGTATGTGTGTATGTGTGTATGTGTGTATGTGTGTATGTATGTATGTGTGTATGTGTGTATGTGTGTATGTGTGTATGTGTGTATGTGTGTATGTGTGTATGTGTATCTGTGTGTATGTGTGTATGTGTGTATGTGTGTATGCGTGTATGCGTGTATGTGTGTATGTGTGTATGTGTGTATGTGTATATGTGTGTATGTGTATATGTGTGTATGTGTGTATGTGTGTATGTATGTATGTGTGTATGTGTGTATGTGTGTATGTGTGTATGTGTGCATGTGTGCATGTGTGTATGTGTGTATGTGTGTATGTGTGTGT